TATATATGCCTCCAAGTCAGCAGCATATGCATGAGAAAATTCCAAAAGCGTTTCCACTGAGATGGGCAGCCATGCAGCACGCAGCTTTGCTGCTGCTCAGTGTGTGCTGGAGAGAGGAGCCAGTGCAATCAAGACAGATCAAGTCTCCTAGAGGCCGGTCAGGCGCAGTAAAGTTCTATCTGTGGGTGCTCTGACAGCATAGCTGGAACAGGGCAGAGACTCTAGAGTGAAACTAATTCCAGTATTAATGACTTTAGCGCACAGCAGAACACGTTATTATACACAATGGGCCAGGAATATAGCTCAGCGGCACAGTACCTGCCTGGCAACTGCCAAGGTTCCAAGTTTAATTCCCAGTACCAAAAAAAGTTTATATAAGACAAAAATCCCACACAAAGATAACAGCCCTAAATGTATAAGAAGAAAAGGTTTAAACTCATTCTTTCTCCACCAATACCTCTGTGTCTTGGTCACTGTTGTCACACAGCAAGTCTAACCACTGTGGGCATGAACCCTCTCATCTTTTCCCTCAGAAGTTGTTTTAGTTATTCTAATTCTTTTGCCTTTAAACATAAATTTCAGCCTAAGTTTTTAATTTAAGTTATTTATCCAATGCATGGGCATTTAGATCCTCTCTGGTATTATGCAATGATAAATGATACCCTTTTGAATAATCTTTGGTATATGGATTTTTGTATCACTAGAAGTTTATCAGGGTACAAACCCAGAAATGGGATCACTGGGTCAAAAGATCAATTCATTAGAGCAATTACTAAAAAATTCTACCCACAGAGACTCAAAAACAATATGGATAATCTCCACAAGATGACAAAGAAAGGGGATCAGGAACCAAACAAAACAGTAAAATAGAAGACAGAAGTCCTGACATATCAGTACTTGCTATAAATGTAAATGTCTTAAAATAATCACTGAATGTGTATTAACAAATTTCTTATTAGGCAAACTTAAAATTCTCAATTGTGACAATGTTCAAATTCTCTGTGGCAGGCATACGCATTGTGAAAGCCTCTCAAATGAACTGTACACTAGTTACTTAAAAAATATAAAACTTAAGGTATTAAAAAAAAATTTTTTTTTTTAAATTTTTTATTTATTTGTGTGTGTGTGTGTGTGGCCAGCTCAGCCCACCAGGGGGCGGGGCTGGCTGGCATGTGGTGCTGGGGGATTGAACTGCGGTCCCTGTGCTTTGTTGAGCTTGTTCTAAGTAGGTGCCTTAGACCACTGAGCCATCTCACCAGCCCAAACTTAAGGTATTAATGTCCATTAAAACTCATTTCTCTATCACAAGAAAGCGTAATTTCACATAGAGTTAGGAAAATTCAAACATAAAATAATCTGGATTGATTTGTTTTCCTTTGGGGCTGGCTCAAGTCCAATCACGACCTATACCCTCGACTCCTCAGGGCCATTTCTCTGTTCTCTCAGAACTCTCCTGTCCATGAAACAGGTCACCAGCGTTAGGAGCTGGAGAATACTGCACCATCATCCTGCACTGCTTGTGGGTAAGGTACTGCAGCAGTAACTGTATGGCCGCTAGTCTCAAAATGTGAAAATCTTCCCAGACCACAGATCTCACTCCCAGCCCCTGTGAAGGGCAGGTCTGGGGCTGCCCTGGCACAAGGATGCTGCCCCCTCCAGCTTCTGTGTACACCTCCCTATGCCAGCTGTGACTCAATCTGCAAAAACCTAGAATCTGCCAGCCATTTCACCCCCCTGCCACAGCCCAAATGCAAAAACTGTAGCATGTGGTCCGGGATGAGCATGAACTTAATGCTCAGAATACTACTGAGACACCCTACTTAAAGTGCACAGGATCTAGAACTCTCAGCTAAATGAATTATGCTTTTCTCACACAATTTCACTTCCTAGGTAGATAGTCCAGGTCCAAGTTTCAATTTTCACAGGAACACAAAAAATGTTGGCTACCAGGAGTTAAAAACTCTGATAACTTTGCTGCTGATGCCTAGTGGGCAGCAGCAGCCCAAGAGCTGTGGTTCTCTGATTGCACCAAGGTGTGGAGGGTGTCCCAGCAAAACCACAGGGTGGCACTGCAGGGATGCTGGCATTTTCCAGTGCCACAGTCAGACAATGCACAAATGCTACCACTGGCTGTTAACGTCTTAAAAAATGGGACTACTAGTGTATTTCTTTTGGCCTTGGGACTCTTTGAACCAAAAGAATCTGGGAACTTCTACACTAGATAAAGAATGAGACAAAGACAGTTTTGTGAATTCTGAAGGACTTTGGTGATGTCACTTGGCATTTATCAAAGCTAACTGCATTTCAAAAGTTATGTTTGATGAGGTACTCATAATTTGTGTATTTTTTCTATGTAGGTTATGCTTTAGTAAAAATAGTGTATATTATAGAAGGTTAAAAAGCAAAGGACTCCAGAGGCCCAAGGCTAAACAGAGAAAGAATATAGTGCAGCCACACCCCGGTGCTGGCATATGCAGTGTGTGCCACAGACTCAGTGCCCAGGTGGCAGTGCTAGCTGCGGGGAGCAACAGATCCTGAGGTGCTGACCTCACCCAAGGCACAGGAACAGGTCAGCGTCTGTCAAGGGCACACCTGGCCCCTTCCACGCTCCTCTGCCTCCTGGCCACCAGGAGGTGGCTGGTCCATGCTGCTGCATGCTCCCTGCCAGCTGTGTTGTGCCTCAGCACAGCTGCAGGAGCAGCTCTGACGTAAGCCTTTCCTTCTTATGCTGGCTTTCTCAGGCACTCTGTCACAGCAACAGGAAAAAGCTGACACGGCAGGCACTGAGATAGTAAACTAAAAGGACAAGGTATGAGTGTGCAAGAGTTCTTCATACTTTATGTGCCACATGCTGGGGTGGAACAGGCTCGGGGCCTCAGGGAGGCCGAGCACAGGCAGCCAAGTGAGGAGGGTGCTGCCAGGGGCTGGGGGCTGCTGGCAGCTGCTGCGCAGATGTCTGCACAGGTGTGCAATCAGGTGCTTTGCTCTCATCCTGTCCAGGTCCTTGCCAGAGTATACATAGTCTGGACTTAGCTAGAATAATTTTTCTCACCTGGATTTGAGTTCCAACACTGTAGATATTTCCTGTTTGGAAGCCTGCAGTTGGCATAAAAGCTTAACAATATAATTAAAATGTTCTGGGTCAAGCATCATCCCAGCTTCAACAAGCTGCAGAAGAGAAAAAAGTAGTTATTATAAACTGCAGAAGAACTTATGAGCCAGTGTATGTGAACAACCAACATTGATGCAAGAACCAATGCAGGTTGATGGGGAACTGAAACTCATTTTTAAAATTCTGAGCATATTTTCTTTAATGTTTGACAACCACAAATACACCTTAAGAATTTAAAGTAAAAATGACTTTTGAATGTACAAACTGGATTTCCTTCCTCCTGAAGTTCACACACCCATTCATCACCTGCATCTTCTCAGTGCGCAGGTGCTTGTGCAGTGCAGCCTGGCTGTGACCCTGAGAACTTTTCCTTTCTTGCTTCACTGGGACTGTGGCCAGAGAAACTATCAGTGACAGCCCAAGTATAACTTGCTGCCCACACATAATAAGTACATTAAGTCACTTCAAAGAAAATCAGTTTGGAAGCTTTTCCTTAGTGCACATTTTCCTCAGCCCATTTCCTATCTTCTTTGTGGACCTCAGCTCTACTGGCAAGAGCTAACAGAATCTGCCCTAGGTCAGACCAAGAAAGGGCAGGCCTCTGACAGCTCTCTGGGGCGCGCACTACCTCAGGAAGGCAGGAATGTGCAGGCTGCAGGCTGGCAGTCTTATTACAGCTCGGCCCCAGGCTACTATGAGCAGGGTGGGCACAGGATGACACTGCCAAGATTAGAGGCTTTTGACAAACTTGGCTGAGAGCTGTGTGAAATTGTGTAAGGAATATTTTTGCTAAGAATCTTCTATGGTTCTATTCTGATTTTTGGAAATTCCCTATTTAGAAATTATTTACATATGGGTGAATTTTGCCTTACCCCTTCATTCTAGATTTCAAAGGAGTACTAGGAAATGAGAATTTGGGTAGGACAGCAAAATAATAGCTGCGGAGACTAAAAAAGAATCCACCTATCCTCAGAAATAATATAACCCTGTGTAAGAAGCTGTACATCTTATATTAGAACTATCTTTGGGGAAGAGGTACTGGGGATTGAAGCCAAGGCCTTCACACTAGGATACAGCCCCCGTCCTTTTTTTATTTTGAGGCAGGGTCTCACTGAGCTGCCAAGTTGCCCAGTCTAGGCTTAAACTTGAGATCCTGCTGCTTCAGCTTCCCAGACTGCTGGGATTACAAACATGTGCCACTATACCTAGATAGCTGTTAGAACTTCTAACTGATGAATATCTTGAGGCAGAATTTAGTTTAGTGACAAAGAAGAGAATCAAGTAGTCTCAGAAAGCACACTCTTGAGTCATATGATTACATAACTGAACCTGAAAATAGTTTTGATGAAAATAACTGTTTAAGTTTGTTCAACACATAAGGCTTTAACACTTATATACTTTCATTTTATATTAGCTCCTCTGGACTTCAGTTTATATATACACTCTATTTTATTATATAAGAGAAAAATTCTCCCAAAACTATTGATCTACTCAGACAAACAAACAAACACCAAATCAAATGCTTCTCTCCTAACCCCCTTGACCTACTACTACCTTAGAAGTTTTCCAAACTTCATGGCATAATGCACTAAGTACCATGATTATTTACTGTTGTTCTCTAACATTCAAAAGCACTCTGGCTGGTCTGCCTGCATTCACTGATCATACAGTGATTTCTGACTCTTACTAGTCAAGAGCCAATTATAAGCCTGAAAAAGCGATCACTGATGCACTTTAAAATGTGCACATTAATCCTGCTCAGAAACTGCGATCAACTGTTTCTCGACAAACTAGAAGTATAAAACAAGTTCTCCCGCCTCAGTCTTTTGTTACTCAGGTGGGGTATGGTGCACTGCCAGAGGAAGGAGGCAGTGGAGCACCCTCATCCACAATGGCAATACAGCCTTATCACTGAAGCCTGAAATTCTCTCAACAATACTGGTATTACAACTTTTAGAAATAATGGGTCATATTCACCAAGCAAGAATGATAACTGTCTCAGCAGCTACTATGGTGATGAGCTAACGTCGGAGCTAACAGTGCAAACAGGGTTCTGCCAAGCCTCCTAGGGTGGAGCTGGAGGCACTTACTTAAAATCCTCATCTGCCAGAGTGGTTACAGTGTTGCTCCATGAAAGAAACTGGGGCTTTCCTGCTGTCACGCATGTTCTGAAGTAGATAGCTGTGTAGTGCCAAGTACTAGGAAGCATTCAGCAAAAGTTAAAATATTTGTATAAGAGCCATAAAAATTCTTTTTTTGTTTAGAGCCAGATTTAAAATAAATTTTTAGCATGGATCTATTTTGTTTTGGTTACAATTTTCTATTTCTGTATTAATTTGCTTATTCCTGCTATAAATGACCTCACATATTTAGAGAAAGAATTTTCTTAATGCTCAAAGAGTGGAGACAAAGACACTTTATAAATCAGAAAGCAGTCATTTGAGGTGCTTGGAATTATTCGCTTATGGGGAAGGTTTATAGATGAACTGAAGTTCATCTACAAACTATGTCAGGAGAAAAAAGAAAACCATTTCTGAAAATAGTATTCTTTGACAGCCAGGATACAAATAAAAGCAGATCAAGGGTGAACACGGCAATAGTTACTTTCTTGTCTATTCAAATTAGAAAATAAAACAGAGAAATCGTACCTTACAAAAGGTATCAATTAAGGCAGGTACAGCATTCCTTAACTTCCTAGTTGCCACGCACTCAAAAATTTGTAGTAATATTTTTAGAGCAGGCTGAATAAAACAAAAAAAATTACACTCATTTTTATAACTTCTTTCAGTATATTTTAAATTTCTCAAATACGTTTAAGCTGAAAAACAAGTTCTCTCTAGGGAGTATTTAACAAAAACAGAAAATTACCTGCTAATTTTAAAAAACAAATGTACTGTTTTAAAATATTTTCTAAAAACAACATTCTCAGGTTACTTACCAGCATTTTAATCACTATGCTGAGGTTCACTACCTGAAATACTTCTTTCAATAAGCAGTATTTGAGTAAAGAAAGCAGGAGCTCATCAAGTACTCGTAAATCAAAGTGTATCCCAGGAGGAAACTTCCTGTAGTACTCCATAAAAATGTTTACTGAAAGTGAAAACACAGTCACTTGTTGCTTCTAAGATATCTACTTTTTCCAAGAATTTTTTTCTACCTTTAAAGACAGTTACACATTAATCTTTTTGCACAATGCCAGGACCAGAAATACTTGATGACAATTAAAATGGAAGTAACATTTGAAGTCAGCCAGGTACATTCAGCATTCAGAGTGGAAGCCAACTCAGATAGCATCTGCCAGACCTTGGTCCAAGCTGCCAGACAGGATCTTTTTTTTTTTTGGCAGAACCAGGGATTGAACTCAGGCCCTTGCGCTTGCCGGGGAAGCGCTTATTCCACTGAGCCATCTCCCCGGCCCCCAAGCTGCCAGACATACACAGGTTCAAACCTAGCTCCCGGAGTGTCCTGGGCAGGGAGGCATGAGCCTTGGGTGTGGGCTGCACGTGTGAGAAGCTGCACAGGCTGATGGTGGGTGCAGACTGTTTTAACAGGATGTCTCAACTCTACCCATGCATTAACTCTGGGGATTTTTAAAATTCCAATTCATGTATATCTTATTAAAAATATAATACTAATTTTTGAGATAGTTCTAAAAATATTTTTCATCCAATTCCTTAATCTATTTTTTTATATAGTACTTAAGATTATTTCCAACTTTTTGCATTAATTTTTCTACAATTAATTGGGAGCCAGGTGTGGTGGCCCATGCCCTAAATGCCAGCACACTGGAGCCTGAGGCAGGAGGACCACTTAAGTCCAAGATCAGCCTGAGTACGGTCACAAAATAACACAAAATAAGACCTAAAATTAACTTAAGCCACTTAATTCACTCACATGCACACATTCCTGCGTACCTGCAGGGGAGCATAAAAGTACAAATAATGAAGGATATAAATAGTCTTTGTATTATTTTTATGCTTGTAACTTTGTATAATTGGAAATTATATCAAGATAAAAAGTTAACATTCCACTCAACATTCACTGCCCTAGTGTGGTCCCTGAGGCCACTGTATGGAGCCCAAGCAGTAAGTTTATTCTTCTACACTACCATCGTGTTACTCAGTATCACTTATTAATCATTCCTTTCCCACATCATACAGACTTTTAAACACTAAGACCCCATGTATATAATACCAGGTCTATTCTGAGCTATTTAGTCTACTCAATTGATCTAGGTTTCTATTTTTATAATGATTTCCACAGGGTTCTTTTAGACCAGGCCTCACTATTCAGTGTGGCTTGTCCTTGGACTCCTTACATGGACTAGGCTGGGCTCCAACCCAGGGTGATCTGCCTACCTCAGCCTCCAAGTGCCAGGGTTACAGGTGCATTCCTGGGGCCACAGGCTCATCATGAGTCCTTATATTTATTCTTTGCTATAAGTTCTTACTTTTCTGTATGAATTATTTTAAAACTAACTGCAGATCAAGGGCCAGCTAGATAGCTCGGCAGATTAAAACGCCTGCTTAGGCAGACCCAGGGGCCGGGCGTTTAATCCCAGTCTGCTGTGCTGGCCCTCCCCCTGGGGCACACTGAGACAGTGATTGAGACTGGGCGAGGTGGTGTGTGCCTGTGATCCCAGCACCTGGGAGGCTGAAAACAGGAGAATCACTACGAGTCCAAGCTATGAGGAGAGACCCTGTAGACACCAGACTAAATACATTAAATAAACAAATGCAGATGTATTTCTCCTATGACCACAGTGGGGCTCCACATGGAACCACACTTTCGGGACTATGCCTTCTCCATGCCATTTCTTTTTTTCTTTGGGTTTATGTTATGACAATATTTCTGGAACTTAAAAATTCATCCACATCTAACCATGTGCAGCTGCTTCTCCTTAGCTGTCACAGTCCAGGGGATCATATCTCCATACAGGGTCCCTATTTCCTCTACTTTACTCAGTATAAGGTTCTGGGGGAGGCATCTGCTAACCCCTGGGGAAACGCTATAGACTACGGGATCGAACAATAAACTGGCTGGAGACTTTGTTTCCAGCCAAACGTGACTTCCAGTAGACTTAGTGGGATGCCACAGTGCATGGTCACCACCACATCATGTGGCCTGGGGGTGTCACTGACAAAAAGGTACTGTTGTCTCAGGGTTTTCACTCCGGTACGCGGAGAGGGACACAAAGAATGGGACAGGGCTGTGGAATCAGACGAGGGCCTCAGAGAAACTGATCCTATTTCCTAAGCCTCAGCTTTGGAAGCCTAGTTGGGCTGAGCCTGAGAAAAGGGCTAGAAGGAGGCATCCGGGCTACAGGGTGGGGCGGCAGCAGCACGAAGCTTAGGGAGCTGCACGCCTCCCTGGGGGTGGTGTGCTAGCCAAAGGGGATGTGTGAAGACAGGAAGAAGGCAGGAGGGATGTGGGTTCTACACAACCCCTTTAGACAGAGTCCAAGGCTAAAATACATAACAATTTCCTTTGCTCCTAATCTACAAATGAAATTTCTAAGTCATGAAGATATTAAGAAAGTTATAGAAGATAATATAATTTTTTATTAACCAAGTCACTTTTTTTTTTTTTTTTTTTTTCTAAGTCACTGTATTTTTAAGCTTCAGGCTGAGTCACTAGGGAATTAAGTTTTTTAACTTAGGTAGTATTAAACATGTATATTTTTAAACTATAAGAGAAAATAACACATTGTGTGCAACACATTCATAAATCTGTAGCATTTAGTTGCTTCATACCTGCACGCTGCAGCAAACACCGTTTGTTGATACTTATATATTTCTTAAATATCTCCATGCAAACCTACCAAAGGCATAAAAAATGTGAAATTACCTTTTTATATTTCATAAGAATACAACAATTTCAATTTTATCCTTTGCCTTCAAAATTTTAAAATGAGCTTAAGGCTGATGTTTGGTTAACTCACAGGTTTGAAATGCATGCTGAATTCACTGTAGAAACCTTATTTAAATTATTTTTAAAATAACCATTTTCTGGTGCTAGGATAAACACACTGACAGCGTATGAGAACTGAATTGAGGGAGAGACCCACTCCTGCACTATCAGTGAATCTGTGACAAGGTGACACAGTCGTGCCATGGGGGAACAATGATCTTTTTAATGAACAGTGCTGCATAACTTGGAAGTCCACATGAAAAAAGACTCTTTTTTCTTATTTTTCATGTATTTAGGACAGGGTCTACCGGGTCTCACTACATAGAACAGACTGGAAGTGATTCTCCTGTTTTCAGCCACTCAAGTGCTGGGATCACAGGCACGTGCCACCGTGCCCAGACTCAATCGCTGTCTCAGCATGCCCCGAGGACGGGGCTGGCATGGCATGCCGGGGATTGAAACCCTGGCTGCTGCACTCTGCCTACACAGGCGCTTTAGACCACTGAACTATCTGGCCAGCCCAAGACACTCTTTTCTTTTTTTTTTTTAATTTTTTTTTTAACATTTATTTATTGTCTGT